AAGAGGGAGGGAGGGGGAGGGAGGGAGGGAGGGGGAGGGAGGGAGGGAAAGGGAGGGAAAGAGGGAGGGAGGGAGAGAGAGAGAGAGAGAATGTGAATAATGTAAGAACTTGATTCCACACTACTGATTTTGTCTGTAACAAACTCTTTTGAGCCCTGTAGCCAAAGCATTTTCCCAAGTGAGCATCTAACTGTATCTTTCTTCTTCCTTAATTCCTCCACCCCTGGAGTTCACCCAGTAACACCCTTTATGTCATATATGAGTGATTCTAAGTCCTCCTACAGCTGGTAGTGTCAAATACTTTGTAATTTTCTCTTTCTACAAGTTACTTGTGTTTGGCTTTGTCCCTTAGAAGACTGCAAATTCTTTTAACATAAGATGCAATATCTATTTCTTTTGTGTTTTATTTCAATATGGTTGGATCTGCAGCCCCCATCCAATTGTCTATAGGTGTGGATGGATGAGCTCTCTTTCTTAATACTGTCCATATACAAAAAACAGTCTTGTGCATAGTAGATACTGTATGAATATACGCAAGTATACATTAAATATTTCAATGCAAAATTAAACAACAGCCAAATTAAACTCTACACTACGATTTAGATCTTATTTAGGTAAAATTTCCTAAGTTCTCACTATGAATTTATACTACTCATTCAATAAATATGACTGCTTATAAACCATTAGTATAAAATAAATCATTTATACAAAGGTTAAAAAAAAACCTGTAACTTTAAAATAAAATGCAAATGTATTGCAATACAAGTTTTTGATACAACTAAAGTTTTTCTTTTCCTTTTTTTCTTTTTTTTTTTGCTAACAAAACAAAATATATGTATTGGTATTGTTGCTAATATTACAAAATATCCCAAGAAATTCTAATATACAGTGACGTTTGAGAACTTTTGGATTGGAGAAAGATGTTAAGGAAGTCTTCAGATTATTAAATACTACATAGTCAAGGGGCTTAGTAGTTATTCTTATTACAACCTCTTTGTATATTTCCTTTAGCTATAGTTAATTTCTTTAAGTCTAGATAATATTTTATTGACTTTAATATTTGAATGCCAATGAGACAGAAAACATAACTGCAAAAATACATTGGGTTATAGAAAAACTGCTGAATTTTATCAGTCTATGTCTGTGATAGCCTCAGAATGGAGGGAAGGAAACATGTATTGGGGAGGAGTTTTTTGTTGTTATTGTTGTTGTTGTTTTTATAGGAAAAGAAAAGTTACGGATTCCTTCAAATTTAATAAAAACTAGATTTGACAGGAAGAGACCTCCTGAAGATCTAGGCTACAACCATGAGGAAAGTAACCACGAAGAACAACACAGGGAACAACAAATTGCTATCTCCCTACATGGGAATGGCTCTGAGACTGGAAGGGACACGAAAATGTCTCCAGCCAGAATTTCAACTATGCATAGCTAATAAATCTTGTTGGATAAAGAATCTTCAAGATTTATCATGCCATCCTTTCAGATGGTATAGATAAAAATTTATATTATAATTTGGTTATATAATCCAAACTAACATTGAAAAAAAGACACATGCCTTACTTGCTTGAACAGAGAGCAGAAAATCATCTTTAACTGAATTATGCACATTGCATACTCCATACATATATTGTTGCAGAAATGTACACTGCCTGTGAGCGTTTAAGTATTTGTAGACACCCATGAAGTCAATGCAGCCCTGATAAAATTCACCCTCAGGGACAATGAAAACAATGCTGAGGCACTAAGGTATATTTGTTCAAGAATTCTGCTTAACCCTACCACAGATTGCCTTAATGCTGTTTCCTCAACAATCTGTATACAGGACAATTTCAAAACGGCTAGGTAGATCATCCAGCATCACAGAATATTCCAGTCAGGACTCCAGTTAAGCCCTCAACATTCTCAGCTTGCAGAGACTGGACCAGCCAATGCTGTAGCTAGCTTTCTTTTTATTTTCCTTATACTCCTGGGGACACGAACTGATCCCTCCAGCTGACTTTATCATGATAGGGTCTTTGGTTCCTTTGATATCTGGTGATGATGCTGTATAAAAAATATCCCCACAATTTTTAACTTTAAATTTTATTTGCTCAATGCAAATAAAGTCTGTGTATTAGTGACTTTGCTGTAGGCTGTGAATCAAGTTTAAGTAAATTCTACACATTTTGTTACTAGGGTCTTAAGGAAGGGTAGGGTGTCTTCTCATATTAAAATAACAAACAAACAAAATAGAAGGAGTAGCATGAAAGCATGTGACATTTCTATTTTCTCATGATTCATAAGTCAAAGCAGGTCTCCAAAATCCTAATATCAACTGGACAAGAAACATACTCCCAATTTGAGAGTCTTCCAATTGGCTCCACCACATCTCTTAAAGGCAGCTGTTTCACGGTCTTTTTCTTAGGATGTTACACAGAAAAGACAGAGTGAGCAGAAAGAATTCAGCTTTGATTTTTATAACTGTGGCATACCTACCCTAATGGAATGACAGTTCCAAGCATTACAAATGTATGCTCCAGTAAATAATATAAATCTATATACTTAAAAAATCATCTTTGAAAAAAACAAGTCACCACTTAGATTTTACTGACTTATATTTAGTAGAATCATCAACAGTAATAAAAAACAAGTCACTAATTCTTCAAACGTTTTTATTAGCTTTGCTTATTTATAATTAAAAACACTTATCTCAAATGACTTTTAGTTTAATTAACCAAATTTCAGTTACAAAGCATTTAGTAACTAATGCTATTAACACATTATGTAATCAAAACTAATAGCTTAAACATAAGCCAAAGTCATGCCTAGAAACATGAGATCTTAACAACTTTACCTTTAAAAACTTCATTAAAGCTAAAATGTCCAATTTCATTACCTCTTCCCACAGAATTGGGGTACGGACTGGACATATCAGGGGCCGTGGGTTTACTTTACATAAAATAAATCAACGACTTATTCAATCTCAGTTATAGTTCCAGAACTTGAAGACTTGACTATCTACCTGCAGTCTCCAAATGCCAATAGAACTCGCTGAGTGGCTCTGAGAAGCAGCTCCTGTCAGTTCATTGAGAGATACCATCTTAAGGCTTTCTTTAGAGCTACAGAAATATATGCTGGACTTTAATATAAATGACAAAAAGAAAAAAAAAATCCTTCCTTGAACCTACTTCGGATCTATAAATGACAGAAAAGGTAAATTTCTAGAAGCAAAAGCAGAAAAAAAAAAAAAAGAAAAGAAAAACAAAGCAAAAAAAAAAAAGGCAGAAAAACAAACTATGAAGCAGATACTGGGAAATTACCCACTGCCTCTAAAATATCACGTATTTTGTTGGTAGAAGGGGAAACAATAATCAAATATGTTGCTAGTTGTAGTGGGATATCCCCCTCCACATTTGCAATAAAGCTCGGTGATTGGGCAGTATGAAACGTAGGTGGAGTGAAGAGTTGGGAGGAGAGAAGGAAAGGAAGGGAGAAAGGAGAGAGGGAGCAGCCACGAAAAGAACCATGGATGGGTCGAAAGCTGTCCTGGGTAGCAACTTCTATCAAAAGGTTAGATATTAGGTAATAACTCTAATTGTTTGGGCATCTTGTTAATAGAGCATTTTTAAATATATAAATCCTTTAGATAATCATTAAGCTTTAAGAGTCTTCTTTCTAAAGGGTACTGCGAGGATGGTGGGTATTATCAGGGGCTCAGCCATACTTTGTGGGGCAGCGTGGTGAATTGGCAGAGCCAGCCGCCACGCTGGTGTCTCGTGGGTGCCAGGGCCCATGTTTCAAGATAGCTGGAGCCATGGTCCAGAGTGAGAGCAGCAGGAAAATGGCGGCTGCCGGAACCAAGTGGCACCAAGCACCACATTCTAAATATCTCCCATTTCAGCTGGGAAGCATAGAAAATACCTACCCATGTCTCCAAACTCCAACCCCAAGGGAGGAGACCCAGAGAATCTCAGAACCCACCATGGGAGTTCATCTGAACTAAAACTGTGTGAAACAAGGAAAGTCAGATTAAGACCACTGGCACAGCAGGATGAACCTCTGTAGGCCTAGTTATCTGCAAAGATAACACAGGAATGGGATGGTAAAGCCATTATGCAGGGTCTTATTGGGTAACCCCTGCATAATCAGGTTTGAGCTGCACATAAAGGTAAGCAGCTCTCCCAAAAATAAATTTAAATGTACATGACTTCTTGGGCAGAAGAGGGCTTTCCTTGATGTTCTCTAATCAAGGAAGAAATTTTAACTGGAGTTGTTTTTTAATTTTTTAAAATCTTCATTCTTACATAGATATTTGGTTCTTTTTTATATTGCTTTATTAGATTTAACACCTATTTCTATTGTCTCCTCTTATGTATTTCTCTAACCTACAACCCACATACTTTCTCTCTCATTTCCACTTCATTTTATCTTCTTCTCTCCTCCACCCCTTCCTCTATTTTTAACTGCAATTTTCTAATGTCAGTAATCTTTAGGGTCTGTTTTCCCTAACGACTTCCCAATTCCTCCCTGCTACTTACTATTTTATGTGAACTCTTGCTCATACTCAACTTAGTGTCTTTGCATTACTCCCCTTAGTAGGTAATATCCTAGCAAATACTATTTTTGTGCCTTTATTCCCTATGGATCATAAACTTAAAGGAAATAGTTGTTTTTCACTATTAGTGAGTTTTCATAGTAGATCTATCCCTCAGTGGAATTTTTCCTTTAATGCTCTATTATTGAAGTTGTGCTGGATACTATAACTGGATACTATAACTCTTGAGCATATGAGCTATATGACATGTCCAATACAGGAGCTATAGGGAAAAGGCATCTTAACCCTCTTACAAGCTAGTCCAAGGGGAAAATTTCCAAAAGAATTTCAAACTTCAATGGAAACAATAAAGGAGATATAACAAACACCTACAGTGACAAAATATACAAATATTGACAAAGAACCAAAGGACCAGGAGAAGTCAAGGAAACAAGACTTCTCTCAAATATTCAGTTCCACAGTGTTAAATTTTCTAAAATGAAAAACCTGAAAGAAATACTAGACAAGGAGTTCAAAACAATGATATAAAAAAAGATTGAACAAAGTCTAAAAGGACAAGAATAAACTCTTGAAAGAATTCCAAAAGAATGTAAATGAATACCTGGGAGAAATAAGGAAGTCAATGAATGAGAAAAATAAAAATTTAATGAAGACAGAGGAATACTGAAAGAAAGTGATAAAAAAATCAAATGAAAATCTTAGAAAAGCTCACTTAGACAAATTTATTGGAAAACTGTTGCTGAAGAAAACATTGGATAATTCACATGGAGAAGCATGGAGAAATTGAGCTGGTGCCGAACTAGAGGCTTTACCCTTCATTCCTAATGTTCATTGCACTGGAAGGCATTCTGCACACCACCAGAGGAGAAAGCTAAAAACCCACCCAGCTATAAACCCTGCAATTTACAATGCTGATCATCTGCAAGATACACTAGTACAATCATGATGCAAACACTGTGGAAGTAAACCATAGTTTCTGAAGGAGAACTTACTATTATTCTGCTAAGTAGGCATAATATTAAGGCAAATTCCTAATGACTTATTATTATACTCATAGATTAGTTCATCTATAATTCTTAGAGATATTTGTTTCTGCAATATATGGTGAACGATCAAGATGCAGAGAATAAGACACTGTAAGATGCTAAGCTTTCCATGGGACATCTCTATCACGTAACTCTTTACTAGAGAAAAGGATCAATGCAGAAGAGGTAGAAAGACTCTAAGAATCAGAGGCACAGAATGACTAAAGGAAACAGTTCTTTCTGGTTACAACAGGGTGGGTATAAATGTGAACTCACTGCAATTATGTCAGCACCCACGAAATCTGTGCAAGCTCAAGCTGAATACAATTGCGGCATGAAGAGGAAGCTGGACATCAAGTCCAACACACAGCTGAAGAACTATTGGTAACTGTTAGCTTCCGTGAGAGGTGGTGTCAGTTTTCATTAAGAGTATGCGCCCTAGTAAGTCAATCAAGTTCCAGTTGAAGGCAGAACATCCAAGAACATCAAGAAGTGGACTTGACAGAATAATTAAATGGAGGAGGGTGGGGAGTTGAGTGGATGGAAAAAAGGGATGGATCTGATAGACGATAGGGTGAATATTAACAAAATGCACTACATAAAATTTAAAATTTAAAAAAAATGGGCAGAAATTTTATAACCATTTTATAAAGATGTAAAGTTATACTGTTAAATGTAGTAGTTTTTGATATTTAGGGGATAGGGATAGTCAGATAATAATTTCACTAACTTTTATATATTGTGTTCACAAAGAAACCTGTCAACCCCTTCTTTTCCTATTAAAACACATAGTACAGAACAGAGAAAGTAGTACATGTCTTTAATCATAGCATTTGAGAGGCTGGATTGCTGTGAGTTCCAAATCAACCTGGTCTACAGGTTCCAGGCAATCAAGAGTTACATAGGGAGTCCATGCTTAAAAATAAAACAAAATCTAATACAAGAGTATAAAACATGGTCAGAAAAATAGTAAGGAGTACTTATAATTGGATAGGTTCTGAAATTTAAATTATTAAAAGAAACCTTTAAGATGAAGTAATATTTTAAAATATTTCTACATATATCAAATTTTAATTAAAATGAGTACATAAAATATTATTACTATCATGAGGATAAGGGATCAGCAATGATACATACAATTTGAAAAGAAATTAAATACCTTCAGATTATATTTATGAGCTTTATCCAAAATAGTTGGTACCAAGTGATCAGTAGCTTCTCCATTCTCATCATTTGAATCAGGTGGGTACCAAGACAGGGCCAGTACTCCTAATAGAAAAGCATAACAAACAACAAAAGTTTATCCAAATTAAGAAACGAAGATTAGAAACGGCTCAAAATCAAGTCAACCAAAATCCAGTAACACCATTAGCTGAGGAGCTAATGAAATGTTAAGAGTTAGTTTCCTATAGGGATGTGGCCCCTAAGATGTTCCCCGTGTTCCAGTAGATAGTCCTAGCATGCATATATGAGCAACCCTAATTGGATTCAGTAGTTCATAGAGTACATAAGATTGAAAACAAAAAGTGGTGGTGGTTAGGAGGACAGAGGAGGAATTAGAAGGGCGAAATCGGGAATACACTTGATTAATACACATTAAATGCACAGGTGAAATTCTTAGCCAGTAAAGAAAAAGAAACTGTTGGAGAGCTAGACTTTAACACTTAAATTTTGTCAGAGTGAGAGTATGTGCAGACAAATTTTAAATAGAGGACTAAGGGAACACCTTCATTAGAGCTGATGGGGAAAGGGCTATCTTTGTCCTCTATCCAAACAATAGCAAAAGGGTGTAACACAGAGTAAAGAACTGATAGTGGTTAGGGATTCAAGGAAGCTATGGCTATCGAATAAATGAGCTGCACCTAGATAAGGATGTTGGTGAAGAGAAATGCTGGGAAAAAGTGATCAACATTTAAGCAGCCCACTAGCCCAACTTGTATCAGCATCATGAGCAAAAATAAACAGTTTCTCAGTGTATAGCCTAGGAAAAAAAATTTCTCAGAAAAATCAGTGAATATAATCATACATAAGGGAAGCAGTGCATGTCAAAAAGACACAAAGCATGTGAATGTTAAAAGCAATGCATTCTTCCAGAGTTCAAACCAAGATTCTATTTATTATAATTATGCAAAACTTTCTAATAGCTACTGATGTAATAGCAGACCAACATCAAGTTTAGGCAAAAATTACTGTTGTGAAAACAAAGCCCTACTCCATAAGAAGGAAGGTCATAGCAGAAGGATGATAAGCTAGTTAAGAAAGTGATCCTGGAAGGGAAGTCAGTTTCCATGAGAATGCCTGGAAGGAGTGAAGCAGCTGCCAGCTGCGGAAGCAGCAGTCTCAAGTCCTGGCTCTCAATGCTCACGTGTCTCTCTGCTGCACTTTATGCAGATATTTCAGTCAGCCAGCATCAGCATTCTCAACAGCAAAGACAAAGCAATGTGAGTCAAGAACTTACCTTCTTCCTGAGCTCAAACAGCATGTTTCAAAGAATAATGAATAAAATACAAGTAAGCACAATGAAAAGAACACAGGAAATAAAGCTTCAGGCTTTATTAGTGGAACTCAAAAAGACAACAGTCTTCAGACACTGGCTCTAGAGACTCTAAAACATTTCTCAGGCACCAGATCATATTGTCATTGTAGGGTTTTATTATTATCTAAAGCCATGTACTTGGGAATCACACAAAGGGCAGAGATGAATGAGGGGCATTGGTGAGAAGAGAATAACTGATCACTTTTCCCCAGTTAAATTAAAGGTATACACTGCAGTGCTCCAGCAAATTAAACAATAAGTAAGAACAAAGACTGTATCTACTAGGCCAAAAGAGACTACGGGAAGAAATAATTCAGATAGTCAATGTCAGATAAGGCATATACAGGATGAGAGGAGTATAAAACAGACAAATAAAAAGGCAAAATGAAACATTACAAACCATATTGCATTAAATAAAGATGAAATTGACAAAATATTTGAAATGGGGGAGACAAAGTCACAAAGCCAAGTAATATGCTACAGAAAAGCAAAAACACACTGGAAATGTCCAACATATGACTGAAGAAGCAAACACTCTCATGTAATGAAATATAATCCCCAGTAAAAATGACTAAAACCGACATTCCTAACACAGGGGAATCACAAAATACTGTGCTATGCAAAATAAGACAAGCAAACAGGATAGCTAACTAATTCTGCTGTCCTAAAGGAACAATCACAAGCACTTCCCAGTGACAGACATCAGGTCCAGTTGCTGGAATGGGGTCAGGGTTGGCAGTTAATAGGGCAATGATGATGATGACAAACTGAGAGCAGGGGACAAGGTCCAGCTGCACTGAACTACGACCTTTGGCCCTCAGCCTTCCAAGTGCTAGAATGGCAGGCATGTTCCGCCATGCATGGTCAAGGGTGAAGTCTTTTGGATTACAGAAATATCTTATTTCATGGGTGTACTGATATTTTAAAAAATAAGATAATCCTTTATATTTTATATAAGTCATTAATAAAATTGTGAATTTAATTGAAAACAATAAGTTTGAATATCCAAAAAATATGTCAAAATTTATCAATTAAACAAATTATGTTAAAAGCAAGTAAAAAGTAGTTTAAATTTTTAAAAAGACATATAGCCTAGGTCTGATAGTGTAGGGCCATAACCTCAGCTATTTGAAAGACTAAAACAGGAGGACCAGGCTTTAGTCCTTAAAGACCCTGTCTCACAGTACAGGACAAAAGAGGCTACAGGCCAGGTGTGGAGGGGCTGCATAAGACTGTGAAATCATCAGTTCAATTCCCAATACTCCAAAAAACAACAAAAACAAAACAACAACAACAAACACTGGAACAACAACAAAAAACATGAATAGGACACACATCACACATAGAATTTAATCAAGGGGTATTAGCTAAGACTGTAATTAATAAAAGAATGATACTCAATAATTTAATTGTACACCCAAATTAGTAATATATGAAAATAAAATAATTACCAACCAATTGAGGCTGAGCGCATTTGTTTCATGTGAGTTTCTATGACAGAAGGGTCTCGAGAGCTGTAACTTCCTAACTCAGGATAAAAACTGGAGCCAATGTCGTCTGGCGGAGTATGTCTTCCTTGTGGATAGTTCTTGGCTATTCTAGGGTCCCAATGTTCCAGGACTGGATGATTCCAGTGTACATATTTACCATCAAACTGTGGATTTCCATACCAACTGTAATAAAATGCATGTACAAAATAATTGAGAGGAGGCAGTTCTTCCAGGTCTGCCTCGGAGGGTTTGGGTGGCAGCACAGTCATGTCAGCGCCTTTTAAATCCTTGGTATTTGTTTCCATGTTGATTCTACCACTCCTTCGGAAGTCAGCTTTGTTTCCTGAGTGGGCATTTGGTGGACGAAGTTCTGGAAGGAGGTCAAGTCCAAAAGGAGGTCCAAAGGATGCTGCGTTTGGCCACAGCAACTTTAAGCCCATCATCAGAGAGAAAATAAATAGAATAAAAAGTGACAAAATGATGCAGGTCCTTCTTCGAAATTTTGCCATGATGACATACTTTAAACTCCAAACTAGTAAATGTTTTGCTGTAATTCATTGAGAATAGGATCATTAGTAATTGATATCAGGAATGTTTTCTAAGGTATTTAAAATAGCTAAAATAGAGTCATTACATTTAAAAATAAATAAAATTTATTATAATAATCATTAAATACTGTCCAATGAACATGCACACATAGACACAGATGCATGCACACATACACACTCACACACACACACACACAGCAAACATACATATATAAGAAGGACTGATTGGAAAATTTCGTGTGTACATGCCAATAATATTTAGTCAGTTAAAACATAGGAATCTGTTTTTAAAAATGGAATATATTTTATCATGTGAATAAATATTGTGCCTATAGAATACACGAAGTGAATAATTAGCATAAAAGATAAATATTAAAAGGGAATAATTATAGATTTTAAATTTTATTTGTGAATGCAATAGAATCAGAATAAAACTTCTTAATGACAGCAATGAAAACAAAAACATTAGATATTCTGGCAACAAAGATTTACCACTCAGTGACTGTGTCCACCAAAACACACAAGTCAGAAACATAACCTCTAATTCAATACTGTTGAGAGGCAGACTCAGTTGGAGATAAAACACACACACACATACATACACACACACACACATATGCATACATATACTCATGCACGATACAGAGTGTATACAGTCTGCTCTCTATATGGGAGTTCTATATCTATAATTCAAGTAACCACAGATACCTACTGACGAAGAAATTTACATCTGTTGCGAAGATGTACAGATTTTTTTCTTGTCATTATTCTCTAAACACAGAATATTAACTACTTTGACAAAATTGCTAGTGATTTTTATCATTAGAGATGATTAAAAATTCACTGGGGGAAACATGTAAGTTATACTCAATTTCTCATATAAACTTAAACATCTTTGAATTTTGGTTTCCAGGAAATGCCTAGAACCAATCTCTTCAACCTGTTTAGAGACGGCTGTGCATATATATAGTAACACAATGCAATTATCTAATTGCCGATATGATTGAAACAGACTGCAGGAAAAATATAGGAATTGAAATGTTTTCACTTTTTGGCAACATTTTTAATGGTAAAAATTTGTATTTAAAGGAAGAAAAAAAAAAGGAATCCCTCTAGGCATACAAAGCACATTATGAGATCTTAATATAAGCTCTGCTTCTTTCTGGAAAGGATCAGTTCTATATAGTCCTTCAAGCTCAGCACTGCACACCAGTGAGTGAGTGCACTGCTGCAGGAATGGGACAGCCCTATTCAGTCAACAGTAATGATGGAAGAACATAACCACTTTGGTTTGCTGCTATAACTTGCTGTCCTGAATTTTTTAAACTGTAGACGTAATAACATATCCTTCCTCCCCTTTGATTAAAGAAGATGATAATTTTGACAAAGCATGAAGCACAAAAACCTATTTTGGGATAATATTTGGGATGTGAACTTGACTATTTTAATCAAACACAAAATGGAAATATGCTTAAAGCATGTATAGTCACTATCTCTAAGTGGAAAAAAAATAATCTCTTCTCAGTCTTCTAAATTTCAAATATGACACTTAAAACTGTATGCTTGGTGTTAAGTATTTTATAAGTAATTAATCACTGATATTGAATGCTGAATAAACACAGACACAAAGAGTAAGTGAATGAATAAATAAGGGAGAGCTATAGATATAGATACACTACAAGATTAACTTCAGAAATGCTAACTCAGGGTGGTAAAATGGACTGGTCAGGGTATACAACAAAAAATCAATTAAGGTTGAAATTTAGAAAAACATGGTAATGATATACTTGTGTGACTCTGGATAGCTGGTGCATACATGAACTCATAGCAACTGTGACAAACTGCACAAGAACAAGAGAATTAGACATTCCAGCATGGAGCAGTGTTTTCAAGGCCCAAAATCTACCTGGGTATTATCACTAGTTGATAATTGCTTAGAGAGAGGCAGAGCCATATCCTGGGGAGTGTGGCCACCCTTAGGTTGCTCATACCACAGGGGATGACCCCACACCCATGAGTTCTCATGCAGCAATAAATAGAAATCAATTAATCAATTATGAAGGACATAAACTTGGGAGATGTGAGGGCCAAATTCTGGACAAAGTTGGAGTGGGGAGTCACCACGGGGGAGTCACCAGTGGGGAGGCACCAGTGGGAAGGTAAGATACATTATAAATAGACATGAAATTTTCTTTTTTTTTTCTTAATAGATCATTTATTGCATTAATTCTTTATTTTTTTATTTTTTCTCAAATCGTAATTAATTCACACAGGGGTTATAAACACAGAAAGGCAGGATGTGGGGAAGGGAATGACACTGGAGTGTGGGTGTTCAGGGGGAATACAGATATCTTCAGAACCGGGTATCGGCTAGGTGAAGGTTCAGGGGACAATTCACTATGACTCTGCCTATGACTCACTTGTCCTTATCTAAGTTGGTACTGTCTGCCAAGGCTACCTATTTACAAGGTCTATGACTACTCAGGCTTGTAAATTTCCACAAAAGCTGCCTGTTTACATTAGGTTATAGCCATCTGTTTCAATGTTTTTCCACTGAGACCCAAGACGTGGTGTTAGTATACATGTATGACAGGCCTATTGCTGATTTTAGGCCTATGGCTGACTTTAGGCCTACAGTGTGTAAGCAGGGCTGCCCCTGACATCTCCTCCCTTCTCTAAGTATAGAAGGGCTGTGGCAATTCTAAACTTGCGAAGGCGGGGATAGAGGCCTGACCTCCAGTATTTGAAGGGGACCTTGTAATGGCTCCAGTCCCCCTGTGACATGAAATTTTCAAATAAGTAAAAATTATTATTTAAACATTTTTGAGCTCTGTAGTTATAATTAATTAGTCCATATTCCTATCTTTCCTTGTATAGCCCAATGTTTCTATACTTCTTTTATCTGCTCAAATCATCTCATTCATAGGACACTTGTCAGGATGAAGGCTTATTTCATATTTGCCAATGGATCACTAAGTAGTTATAAGCCATGAGTGATTATTCACGAGGAAAATGTGGGTAGCATGAAAATTATCCAGAACTAGCAAATGGGTGATGGGTGTGGTGACATACTTTAATCCCAGAATCTGTGAAACAGCAGCTAGCAGATCTCACTGAGTTTCCAGGCCATCCTGGAACTTCCAAGCCAGCCAGGGATACATATTGAGGCTTTGCCTATCAATTAATTGATTGATTGATTGACTGATTAATTAATTAATAGATGAAATACAACCAACCCAGCATATAAGATTGAGCATGTAGTTCGGTAGTTAGAACATAAGCATAGCATGAACAATTCCTTGGGTTCTAGGTTTGCCCCTTAGATCTACATGCAGAAAACAAACAAACAAATATAGCATACGTCTTATTCTCGAAAGTAACATTCGAGGTTCAAGTCAAAGCAAAAATCTGCATTCTCCTCCTGATGTCTCTCCTAAAGACTCCTAAATAGAAAACTCTATTGATGTCACACTATTCTCCTTTAATGTTGGCATTTCTTACACTGTACACTGCACCAACCTATCTGTGGACAAGTTTCCAAGTATATATATGTAAATATGTATTTACATATGTCCTATATATGTATACCCCTTATATAAATATATATGCCGTATATATGTATATTTATATATACCCTAGTATATTTATACTCTACTAGATCCCAACAAATGTTATGACCATTGATTATTATTCAGCTTATTTAAATTCAGCCAGCCCTCCTTGTTCTGACACTGGCATGTATTGGGGAAGTATGTTTATCACAGATTCTACTATACATATGCAGACCAGATTTGTGTGAGGTGCACAACACTGTAAAAGAACATTCTTGAAGGACTCAATAATTTTCAAGTTCATCTAAACAACTTAGCATCTTAAAATTTGTGACAACACAATGCCCCTGAAGCCTAAAACAAGCAGTGCCCTTGTGGCACTGCTAGTAACACATAGTGGCAAAGAACTACTAACTTAGCTTTAACTAAAGAAAGAAGTTTCGTAAGTTCCTTATGAGAAAGACAACTACCAAACTTCTCCAAGTCAACTGCAGGTGTGTGGGTTCTCAAAGCAAGAAGCTCAAGGTACTGACTGCTGACAGTGTGTCCTCACTAAAAGGGAAATTTGCACTACCCAGAGTTAGAAAACTTGTTCTTTTGAAACCATGTTAATTTTATGTTTGGTGATTTTAATCCTTTAAAATGATAGTTAATGTGAAAGTCAAATGATTTAGAATAAATAGTATCACATACTCAAGCAGCTAAGAGATCTAAAAGACCCTGAAGCAGAATGTTGTGGATTATTTTAAATGTATTTGCTCATATTGTATAACTCTGAAAAGGTCAGATTCCGTTTTAAAGTTATAATTAAATCATAAAGATTTCTCCTGCTTTTTCTTTGTGTTGATATTATTTTCTTCTAATTTTATGCTAGAGGAAGTACCTAGAGTTAGATAAGCTAATGCTAAGAACACACAGCTGAAACTTTCAGAATCTTGTTCAAGTCAGTTTCACTGCAAGTGCGGGTAACCTTTTGTACAGAAGTTCAGTCCGGCATAATCTCATTTTCTATTTTTATTTTCACAACCGTCTATGAAGAAGAACTTCATGTTACAGGTGATGAAACTGAGCAACGAACTTTTTCCAGGCTTTTGGGCTACTAAACAGCCGAGTACCCTAACGCTGACAACCTTGGAAAGGCAAACTACAGTGCTGGAACTTAGGCTCCTGGCTCCAGCCTGGCCCATGCGGCCTCAAGTACAGAAGGCATCCTACAATGATTTTTCACCGTGGAATGTGACTTAGAAAAAATGATCAGTGGTTTCTCCGCCTTCCACTGTGGCTCAAACTTCACAAGATAGCAGCTAGCTCATTGTGTTTATTTTCTGATCCCATACTCGTCATAGGAGTAAGAGCAGCAGCTTTGTAAGTGTAACTAATATGAATTCCTTTCACCAAAACCTCGAGTAATTCTGCGTTGTATTTTCAAGCTGCAGCCTACACATTGCAACATGAACAGCCCATTTCACACTCTCGTTTGTATTTCTAACCTCATACAGACACAACAGCGCTCACAAAAGCCTCCTTGTAAGTCAGTTTTACTACTTCTCCCACTCGATCTCATCCGTAAGTCCTCGACACAACAAAAGGAAAGTTTTAAGCGCTCGCACTCCCCAACTTGTTCCTCCGCAAACAGAAAAGAAGCCGGCCACCTTAGAGGGGCAGGGGACAGCGCAGAGCCCAGCCTGTTAAAGGAGAAAGGAACAAAGACCTCGGAGGACGCACTTCTCCCGGCGGCCTCCGGGTCCCAAGCTGGGATAGGAGACGGCTGGGCAACCTCCAGGGTTCGCCACTCGCAGGTTCGGGGCTCAGGACCGAGTCGTGAAGAATCATCTCAGGGCAAACTCGGGCATCCAGGCAAGGGCAATCTCGGACGCGGTGCGGACACTAACCTAGCGGCGGGAACCGGTGCGGAAACGGGCTGCAGGGCTGAGCCGGACTGGATTCCTGGAGGCCCGGGACGCGGGGTCAAAGGGCGCCGCAGGCAGGCGGCCAACGATTGGCTGTCGGGCTAGCGCGCAGGCGTTAGCTGCTGAGTCCCTGTGGGCCTCAGCTCCGGGACCTCACAATTGCTCACTGGGGTCTGGGACCCTGCCTCTGCGGGACCCAATGTCCGAGAGAAAAAAATCGCAACTTCCGCCAGGGCTGACAGCTCTCTCCACCGTCCCACCTCCTAAAGGACAGCGCGGGGCGTGGCTGTAGAGGTTGAGGCTCTGAGGGGGCGGGGTTTAAGGCGGGGCTCCGAGTTCCCTTGCCTGTCCTGAAATCTACAGCAGGGTCATGGTGGAGGAAGCTAGCTAGAGTAAAATCAGAGAGTTAAATCAGAGGACCCCTTTATTTCTCCAAGGAGAAATGAAAGCTCTTTTACACTTTTGCCTCTCAGGATAGCCACAAATCTCTAATAGAGGTCATACGTGTATTGTGTGTTACTTAGCTTTAAAATTCATTGGTTATTTCTAAAGTTTTAAAGTTGAAACCATGTTTTAGTTTATAAAATATTTATTTGCAAGCCAGAAGTATACAACGATATACTAAACTGACAAGTATACTAGGGATCGGTACAATTGTACTGTACAATTGTGTAATTGTACAATTACACTAGAAATGGAGACTAAGAGGCGAAAAAAAAAATGCAGCAGAGGCTACATCTGGGGTTTCTATCTTACATCAGATTCACATACCAAGAGGATTCCATGTTTTGTTTTTGTTACATGGTAACAAGGCAATCTTGACTCGGGGTAGAACTTGCAGTTGTACTGTTTTGAACAATACTGTAAAGGCTTCCCTTTAAAAAAAAAACCTACTGGATTTTAAAATAGATTTGAGATATACATGTAAAGAATAATGAAAGAAAATAGCCTAGTGCTAGCTGCAAAAGCTTCAGCCAAAAAGACTTGTTTTGCTATCACCATTATGTTGTGTTCTTCAATGTCTTGCTCTTTTGAAAATAAGTTTTTGAAAATGTCTAGTTTCCTAAAAAACTCTGTCTTCCTGGCTTTGCATGTTAAATAAGTGAGATATTTTCTGATTTTCTATGCTAACATGTTTGCTACATGTTTATGCTTTGAAATTTCTAAACATACAAATCTATTTTACATCAACTAGTTTGTTTCACTGTTGTAAAAACTGTTTTTTAATGTTTGCCCCAAAATGTCATCTAATTGAATATTAACTTATGTGTTCACCTTGCATTCTGAAAAAACCCACCTGTTTACATCCCTCTGGCTATTAGGCTTTCTGGAGAAAATGTCTGTTTTCAATCTAAATTCATTTTATTTTGGATTTTTTTTATTAATTTCTATGTGAAGAAATAAATGTACCTTATGGATCACAAATTCCTTCACTTCCTTTGTGCATTCTCCTCACTTTTGTGACATCTTGATAATCAAAATCCTTAAAGTTTAGGATATTCCTTGTTCCATTTAAGAATATTGCAGTTGTGTAATCTTGCATCAGACATCAAATCTTTACCACAGACACAAAAATTTGTGGTATAACGTTAATAGTGTTGTAGTAACGTCAAGAACACGAATCTTGTTAGAAGCTCTATTCAACATAATATTGAAGTCCACCTAACTGTACCATTTTAAAAATGATCATGAACTATTCGCTTTTGCTTCTAAAAAAATTTAACTTTAGTTATGAGAAACATTATGCATAGAAATGAATGAACAATATTGACAATATGTTAGAGCATCTGTGCACTACACTGTATGTACATATAAAATTTGTAACATCATTTTTCTTATTAATATTATTTAAATTATATTAGCTAAAATTGGGTCTTTATTCATTTTTACAAATTTTAGAATAAACTAGCCAAAATCTATTAAAAGTGTCTGTTTGGATATTGATCGTACTTTAATAAAGTTTTAGAGTTAAATTTATAGATTTTTAGAGACATATCCTCTGTGAACATGTTATGTTTATAGATTTATATTTGAACTGGTATATTCCTTAATGAGTCTTAGTTCATGTTACTTACGTTTTTGCAGGCTTTTATTGCATAGATTTCTCATGCCTATTGTTAAATTTAAATATATCTTTCTTTAAATTACATATTGTATAATCTGATACTATATAGTCAATGGTAAAATGCATAAGATCCTGAGATTAATCCCAAACACTGAAAACAAAATTCCAGCAGATTATTATCATTATTAGCCCAAAGGAGCATTGATTTTATATATATTTCATATCCATAAAATGTGCCAACATTTTGGTGTGTTTGCTTTACTTTCTGTTACATATCCAGTCTATGCAGGTAATTCTTTATTTTAAAAATGTGATTTTCTTCTATTTAAATGATCTCTTCATCTTTAAAACACATTCACAGGACCCTAGTATCATGTCCTATAGCCCTAGTGACAGCATTGCTATACTATTCCTAGTTTAGTTCAATACCATTTAAATTTTATCATGAATTTTGAGGTGTGGTGTGAGTTTTTCATTATATAATTGATTGCTTCTAAGCAATTACCATACTAAGTATCCTATTTCCAGGTTTTTCAGCATGAATACTTGCTTAGTTGATCAAATTAATTTTTACCATCTATTTAGATAGTCATAATTTACTGTTCTAATACATTTATGGTTATTAATAGATTTTCATGATGTTGAATTCAAGGGAAGGACTTTATCTATAAATATTTATACATATGCTCACTTGCTTTAAAATTGTTTTTTATTACTGCTGGAGCAAATCAATAAATGTAGATTCACATTTCATCACCCTGTGTTTGTCAGATTTCTGCAATACTGTTTTAAAAGGAGTTAGAATTGTGGGTAATGTCCTATCTGCAACTCAGAGTAATCCTCTCCTCCTACTAAGTAATCTTAGTAATCTTCTTGCTGTGCTAGGAAGGTTGAAATGGTTACAGCCAACATTGCCAGTAGTCTTTTTATTCTATATGACTTTTCAACATATTTCATGTAGATGATGTGTTTCCTTTTCTTTCTGAATCCCTCGTTTGTTTTTATTATCATATATGAAGTAATCTTATATGCCAAATTTTAACATCTTTCAAATATGCAGTGATTATAATAACTACAATGTCTAATTTTCTGTTTCACATAATTTCAAACAGTATATAGTTAGGTGGGTACATTTCTAAATATTAATTATATCAATCTCTAAAATAAACAAGTAACTAGTAAATTAATGAAAGTTCTTTCATAGAAAGTTTATGTACATGTGTTCATGTAAACACATATAGAATATCTGTGTGGGTGCGTTCAGTTTGACCTATTGTGACTCTTCCTCATTTGTCTTTTTTGTCTTCTTTCCATTTTTCTTTTGTCATTACATAGTTTGTTCATTAAAACTACAGGACTAAAATAATGTGCCATATGTTTAGTAGGTGAATTATTTGAGGAAAATGGAGCTGTTTGTGCATTAAGTGTAATATACCAAAAGTGATCAGTCATTGAGATAGCCAGTAAGTCATAGACAGCCAATGTTATAAAGGGTGGAGAATGAAAAGAAACAATCCATACTTTTCCTCATGAATTCTTTTCATGAACTAGGCTAACAGTGTTACCCATGAGCAGTCTTTGGTGCTTTCTACTGTAATTTTATTACTATAACAGTTCCAAATACCATAAAGTACTTGTGGTTTCTCTCATCCTATTATGGAAACACCAGCAATCATTTTCCATTGAACATCTGCAATGAACAGCCTTCTTATTTCCTACACCAAGTCAAATGCTTGCATTTTCAACCATCGTTTTCTCATCATTCAATGAGTCTACTCTGTCTCCTGAATATCACATGCCTCGCATCCACTGAATTTCCCAAATCTGACCACAAAATGTCATTTTAATAATTTTAAACGTCATTGTTCCTCTCATCTGGAAAGCAAACTCACAGATCAAGGGAATCCTGTAGCCTGAAGTACAGTGTGCAGGTGAAGACTAGTGTTTAAGGCAGTAATAATTGCTAGGAACCAAAAGGACTACACACAAGAATACGATTTGTGTTCTTCTCTGTTATAGCTGACCATTAGATGTTGCTCTTATTAACTTAACTCCATCTGCATATTTAGCCTTCTTCAGAATTCTCTTTTGTTCATAGCTCTGTCTAACCTATTAACCACTACTACTTTAGTTTACCCAAAGTAAAAGCCACTTAGGACATTCTTCCTAATAAGTAGCAACAAAGCAAAGCAAAACAAAATAAAAGGTAAATCCCCAAGGAAAAGCCTTTTTTTTTCTTTTTTTAAAATCACAGTGTGCTTCTTAATGTCTTGTCTACTTTTGCTATGTCCTTGTGTGTCCTGTTACATATTTTTGAGTCCTTCAATCCCAGTTTCATTTACAATTTTGGCATCAATTATATTTTTGTTCTGTTCCTTATATACTATTTTGTTGCATAAATGTTTAAAGTGCTAAATGATAAAATTTGGCACCTGTACCTCTAAGAAGTCCCCGAGTAGAGTTCCACACTTTCTCCTGAATGAGAATGGAGCTCTTTTTACTAGTCTAGTCTCTGGTTAAATGTACTAGGAAATCTGGAAGATGACCACTATTCTGGCCACCAGAAATTCAGTTTAACTCAAATAAATCTACTCACAATTGCTAATAGGATCAAAGAAGATGATGGCCTTTGAACATGCTGACTGAGTTTATAAGTGAGAAAAACTCTCAGATTTTATAGTGCTCACCATAAGATAAGTTTTTGACCAAAGTGTTAGACTTTTGTAAGAATAGACACACACCTAAGGATTAAATTCATTATTGGTAACTCAGAACTGTAAAGGCCAAGGGTCTCTGGTAAACATTCTATGACTCCTACATTTTATCAGGTCAGGATATATGTGAGGGATGGTGTTTGTTCTGTCACCTTTTTGTCCACAAAGACACAAAGCTGGATGGATAATAGGTACTGCTAATGACTAAGCAGAGGCAATTTCTCCAATGGAGATTGTTCCACTCAGGGATAATGACTAATGGGGTAGGTGCATGCCTACAGTACAAAGCTGAGCCAGCAGGAAGATATTACATGACCTGAGGGGTGAGTTGATGCAATCGTCTCTGCAGAGCCTCTCAGCATTTGAAGAAATGAAGTTTCAGGTACTATGATCCTGCAAGTGTCCTGCCACATTCA